TGGTGCGGTTGTTACTCGAGGCTGGAGCTGACACGAATGCGACAGACTATAGTCACAGTGAGGCAACCGCTTTGATGGCTGCAGCTCAAAATGGCCACTTGGAAGTGGTGCGGTTGTTGCGCTAGACAGTTCGCATCTTCCATGGCAGCTGCTGAACCACGGTTTGGTGGCGCCGGGGCCTGTCCCCCTTGTCACAAGAAGAAAGCTAAGAAGGCACCCCCAAATGCCAGAGTTTCGATGGTGCCTGTGGCAAGTTAGCGACCCATGGCAATCCCAAAGGCGACTTGGGCGATCCATCATGCTCTCAAAAGACGAAAACAATCGAAAACATACGAAAACAATCCCCTAGGAGGAGAAAAGAAAGATGCGCCGGTGGATTCTTTTTGGCTTGCTGCAAACTGAGGGATCAACAAAGGCATACAAAAACCCGGCCGAGTTGGACCATCCCAGGTGCCACACAAAAACAACGGCCCTACCTATCTTCTGCCACTGACCCGACCTCTTCCTTGCCATCAAACTGGTGACCTCATGTGACGATCAACCAGCGAAAAGTGTGAAACAGAAAACCGGGTGCCAGACCTCGAGTCCTCGACATACCAAGACCCCTCATGACATCATCATACACCAGGTCACCAGGCCTGGGTTGGATTTCGTTGAACTGGAAGGAACGTGCGGAGCAATTTCGGGAGGAGGCCAGAGTGGAACAGGTTCCCAAATGACCCAAAAAGAATCGTTGAGTTTTTGGACGATCCCATCACCGAGGTACTTGCCCAAGGATGTTGGGCAGCATTACTGCGTAGGTGCCCTTCATCACCGTCCCTTCATCACATGAACGAAGTGAGCTAAAGCTACTGTACCTTCCCATCCAGTTCCTTGTGATGTCGGAGTGAAGGGGTCTGGCTCCCTTTGTCAATTAAGTAGAGGAGCAACCCCTGACTGAAATGCAGATAAACGTAACGTATTCCTGTACTGTATATGCGTAAACTCCAATTCACGAACATGGACGTGGAACCCCCCCCTGTTTGTAGAGAACAATGATTCTCCAAGGGGCCAGGGCTCCCGTGTGCCAGGTGCGACAGCACTTGTCGACAGACTTCGCGAAGTTTCAGCTGCCGGATGATGTGCTGGTGCCTTGGGCTTCCGGCTTCCGGCGACCATGGGGCTCCGGTGCGCCGAATGGCAAGTGGTCAGAGAGCCTCAGAGCCTCCAAACATCGAATCATATCCCAGACGCGACACATGGGACTGCCGGACTGCCTTCAAAACGGCCAGGGGTGGTGCCAGGGGGTCGATGGGGTGGCATATATTCCAGTCCCATGGAGTGTATGGGTATGGATGACCCCGGAATCACCCTTTCGGTGGGGATCATTAGGAGTCTCAACCGCAGCGCCGCGCTGATGAACATGTGTCCTTTTTCAACACACGGTGCCGCCCTCGTCGCCAGAGACCACGGTCGCACGGTCGCCGCTGCGCGCAAGCTCCCACCTTTACTGGGCCCAAGAGCCAGGTGCATCACCTGGCTGCAGGGACATCCAGAATCAATCCAGAATCCAGAATACACTCCTTTTTGAAGAGGATGTTCAATTCAGATGGGGCGGGGGTGTATTTCTCAAGAGCCTACATTAGGGGGCACTGGGTGGATCCAATCGGGGTTCGATCCCCAAGCGCCGATCCCGTCTCAGAGACCAGACGGGTAGAAAAACAAGATGGGGTTTTAAAGGTGTATCGATACACACCTCCAGGGGGATGGGAATTCACATGAATTCACAGCCGATAAGCCTCAAAAAGGCCTATGTATTGTTTCGAATCTTGGGCACAGGCCCAAGATTGATTTCAACCACGTGATTGGGCTCAAAGAGGATGTTGATCAGCATGTGGGGATGTCGTGCCTAATCCAACGAACCGCAGGTTTTGCCATTAGAGATCTTCGAAAAAGAGGTTGTGCTTCATCTCCGAGTCACTCAACCTGGGACGACCAACTGAAAACCTTTTGAAGCAACAACACTCATGTTTCTCCGGCATCAAAAGCTCAGATTGGGCTTAGAATGGGAAATGCGCACCTTGGACAAATGAACCTCCCTATTAATCAAGCCCAGCTGATATCCTCAAGCCCATTTGCCCCCAGAAAGCAAAAATACCTCATTGGTAGTTTCATTAATAGTATATATATTGTTTAACATTGTTTCAAGCTCCAATCTAAGCTCTCACAAAGCAACCTTTGTTCCACAGTCCCTATAAGAGCATCTAACAACTCCCAAAATCTTACCCCTCACACAGGCCTCATGGTTCGCACAGAATCCAATCAACCATCATCCATCCTCAGGTCAGGGCCTTTTCTAGGGGGTGGTCTCCAATACCTCCAATCTCAAACCTTGTTGACCTTGAAGGGGGGGCCTTGAATAATCCGACGTCGACATGACTGATCACTTGGTTGACCTTTGGTACGTCCGCGCGGACGCATTGACTACAGCGCAGCTGCTGCAGTAGTCAAGGTTTGGGAAGCGATTCCCTTGACCAGCACAGGGAAGATTGACAAGAAGGAGATTCGTGCCCAGTTGCCGCTGGTGTCGCAGCATAGTTTGTTGTCAATGTTGGAGCTTCGCAGAACTGTGTTGCAAGGAGGATGGAGGATGGACGGACAAGATCAGATGAAACAGGATAAACATGATCCCGGCAAGAGACCCCAAACAGTGTGTGTGAGGTATAATATAAGTTGCTTTTCCATTACCGTAAGAACCCCTAAGTGTGTCCACACTGTTTGGGGAAAAAGGGGGGTTTGATCCTTGAACTGCTGGGGATTCCCGAGCCACCGGTCCGACCATCCGGAAAGAGTGGATGCGGTCCGAAATCCTCCTGCCTCGTTGGTGGACCCAGGGAGGAAAACCAGAATTGCCGGAAGCTTGGCCTTTTGGTCAGGTTCAATCTTCAGTCTAAGCTAAACACTTGCATCATCATCAATATGACTGCAAGGAGTAATGGTGTTGCCGTTTATCATGAATTCACGGCGCCGCACCTTCAGAGCCGGCAGAAAGTCTTCGACAAAATGTTTGAATCAAAACAGGGGTTAGAGTCATCGATGTCGGGTGCTCACAGCCATGAATTGGCCACTCGAGGCCTGTGAGAGCAGAGGTTTCACGTGAAAGGGGTGCTGCTTCAAACCACCAGTTTCCATCCCGGGGAGAGAGATGGGGATGGGCCAAAACCTCAACCGGTCGTACATGTATATAGCTTGACCTTCCAGGTAGGTCGGTCAACCAAGGTATCCTGGTTGATCCTTTTCTTGTGACCCACAGCCATATGAGAGATTTGCTTCGACTTATGTGATTTCGGAAGATGCTTGCCCGTGAGGCTCTGAGAAATCCAAGAGTTGTTGGGCCGCATGTGACTGTGACCAGGGCAATTCAATCAAACTCAGCTGCGTGAGTCGATCCATCAGCTGCGTGAGTCGATCATACATTTGTATGGCCCAGGCAAGCTCAGAACTACGTCTTGCCAGAGCTTTCCTCTCCCGCCTCAAAGCTGTGAGTGCCGCAAACGCGGCTGGGCGTGGGTACACTTGCGTAGAGGTGGAGACCCGTGCTGAAATGGTGCCGGGTGTGTTTCTTGGCGGGCTGTTTGGGGCTGCCATTGACATCCAACACGGTTTCGGCACCATCTTTTTCTATACTCATTGCTTGGCTGGAAGAAAAAGAGGCTGCTGCCCCAGGATTGGACTTCGGCATCAGCCTTCCCCAAAGCACCTCTTGTCTTCGCCTCTCGCGACCCAGCGAGAAACCCGATCCGCTCGCACGGCGAGTTCCCACCATTGGACCGTTGGCCCCTGCGTACCCGATCGGGTTACTAGAAGCTACTAGTACGAAAGGGCATCGCTATGAACGGAGCGATCGGACGCTACGAACGTATACCTGGCCTTAACTACGCACGGAAACAAGGACGCAGCTGTGGGGGGTAAGGCCAGGAGCTACTAGTAGCTCGGTTGGCTGCCGCAAATCTTGTTCCCCCCCCAACCCGAGAGCCTTTCACCGGAGCCGTTCACTTGCGCAGGCCTCGGTCACAGCTGGCTGGTGGGAGGAAGTCATCGATAGCAGACGCCCCTCCTTCGGTGCCTTCGTTTGGTTAGCGCGAGGACGGAGCGAGAATCCGTGGACGAATGCGAAGAGATCCAAAAAATTCAACAGGGGTCAGTGCTTCTTGAAAGGGATGGAAGGGCTAAGCCCCTCCATTCAACAAAGATACTTTGGGGAAGATTGCCCCTGTCGGAAGGCCAACATGGGAATGATTAGTTACTGTAACAGTAGCATGTCCCCAACATTTCCATATAGGAGGTGATTTGGGTAGATTGGCTTTGACGAACTCAAAAGATATCGAACCCAACAACCTTGGTGTTTTTCCTACTCAGATGTCAGTTGCCCAGACATGGCTGGAAGCTTGGATTGTGTTTTCATGTGTTTCCAAGTTCTGCATATGTCCAAGTTCTATGTTGGCGACTGCATCAGTGGTTTCACCAAAAGTTCTCGGTGTTTCATGACATCTGAACCCTTCTTAAGTTGGTGGAGCACATGTTTTTTTGGTGGAGCACCTGTCATAGTGGACTTAATGGTTGTTCAATTCACCCGGTTCAACCCGCCAGGGTTGAACTATGTCGGTGCCTTGTTAACCCCGCCAGTGGTGAGACCTTAGACCTTCTTGGGGGATGGGTTTTCCACTCAAATCCCACCGGTGGAGAAAGGATGGAGTGTCAGCCTGACCGTCCACATCACCACATGACCGTCCACTCATGTGACTTCCAAGGCTTTGCTCAGGCAGAACGACGCAGTGCACAGATGAACTCGCCCTTAGGATATTTGGCGCACGTGAGCCACTTCCTCCAACAGCCCGGCGACTTCGGCCGCTGGGGCCGAGACCGTTTTTGCGGAGGGCGTTTGTGCGGAGGGCGGATGCGGGGAAATGCGGGGAACAGGGCGGATGACCAATTCCTCTAAGTGTTGGTTTTTGGATCAAACTACAGCCAACTGTTGGGGGTTCTTTCTTGGGTACATGACTCTGTGTTTGTGCTGTGTACATTCGGCAAATTGCTTCCTTCACACCGGTTCCGAGGCGAGGTATGCCGAGGCCCATGAGACGGTCGTCTTGCTTCGCGAAAAAGGAGGCGGTTGCGTGTCCTGCAGCGCAGGGTCACCGTGTGGACGGTGCGTACTGGTCATGCTAAGGATGCATAATATGCATGCCCAGAATGCCGGACCTTGCTTAATTGGAAGTTGACAAGTTGCAAGCCTCCAACAATTGTTCAGGACATAGCTTCTCAGGAGGGAATTCTTTGATTTGACCTTGCGGCACAATCACGTGGGAACAATCAGATGCGAGATGTGTCGAGGATTCGACGATGCAAATGTTGACCCGATTTTAGGTCTTGAATCTTTGGAATCAAATCATGACGCATTGAACAAATATAAATCAGTATAATAATTGTAGAAATAGAATTTGTTAATCCCATCCAATTCTTATTATACAATTTATATTGTCGACTTATTCATTGAATACGACGGTATATTATAAGATTTGGATCTATTTGCGAAATTATATATGATTTGGATTTAATTTGGTTACGGCCTAATGTAATATTAATATTATTCAAGTAGTTCCCGGGCAAGCCGGCGGCGGAAGTTTCCTATAAGAACAAATTGACCTATAGGAGTGTCCCGGTTCTTTCCACCATGCGTGTCCCTCGTGTCCCTCAGTCAGAGCTGCTAGAGCTAACTGGAGCTAGGGCTATTGAAACTAGAGCAAATGATGATGATGATGAGTGATGAGTGAAGCATAGCTCTAGCTCTAGCTCCACTAAAGCTAACTGGAGCTAGACGTTAACTATGATGTGATAGCTTGTCTTAACGGACAGTAATCGAAATGAGCACTTTTAAGTAAGCAAATTAGCTAAAATTGGCCAACCTCTCAAGAGAGCCGGGTGGCCGGGAGAGATGACTCAGCCGCGAGAGATGACTCATCCGCGTATTAAAGTTGTATTACAAAGTTGCCAGTTCTCATCTTCCAGCTCCCTAGATACTCCTCGTACTAAAGTTGTACTACAAAGTCGCTAGCTCTTAGCTTCCCAGCCTATTCCGCGTACTGAAGTTGTTCTGCCAAGTCGCTAGTTCTTAGCTTCCAGCTCCACAGATTGCTCCGCGTACTAAAGTTCTACTATAAAGTCACTAGTTCAGCTTCCACCTCCACAGATTGCTCCGCGCACTAAAGTAGTATTATAAAATCGCCAGTTCTCATCTTCCAGCTCCCTAGATACTCTGCGCACTAAAGTTGTACTATAAAATCGCTAGTTCTTAGCTTCCAGCTCCCCAGATACTCCGCGTACTAAAGTTGCACTATAAAATCGCCAGTTCTTAGCTTCCACCTCTACAGGTTACTCCGCATACCACAGCTCTTGGTTAGGATGTTTATTTCCCTCTTTATTTGCTTTCTCGGTGAGGCATGCTAGGTTTGCTAGGAACGATTTCTAAACCTACCAACAAAAACCCGGGACTATTTGTAAAGCTTGCCTGGCCATAGGCCAGGGTGTAATTATTTGCTGCAAAAAACAAAGCCTAGTTAGGCTTAGTTGCACACCTTGCTGAGTTGGAGATGGCACGTATTTTATCCGTAGCCTTTTTATCAAGATTGGATTTGCAACAGGCCTTAGTTATGGATAGTTCCGTGCCTGAATCTTTGCCGCCTTTGCCCGAACCTTTGCCGCCTTTGCTAGAGTAGCTTGAAAGTAGTTTTATGTCAATTTCACATTAAAGATGAAATGAGTCAATACATTTGGAAGGCTGGTGCTTTTTGTAGTAAAGACTAAATGACTCAATGGGGATCCCAAGATTGTAGACCAATAGGAGCCCGTTTAGGATCAGCAAGGCCAAGGTTTGAGGAGTTGAAGTTTGATTTGTTTGATCGGGCATTTTGTGTGCCACAGCCTCCCAGGTCCGACTTCGCAGATACACCCAATTTCATGAACTATGTTGACCACCTGCTGAAGAAGTTGGAGGTTCCCAAGGACATGGACAAGAACTTCTTGATGAGTCTGAAGAGGACACCTACCTTTTAAGCAGGTTCATTACAGCCTTTTGGGCAACATGTTCTCTTGTGTGTGAGCAAGATGCGAAGCTTATAGTTATATGACGGTCTTTCGTCTTTCGAATATAAGTTCCAATTGTAGATATCGTTGCATATGTTCATATGTTACGTTAGTCATCTCCCTCTTTCTCTCTTTCAATTCCTCCTCTTCTCTACCATGCCTTGGTTGAACTGCCCTATAAGGTTGGACCCACATGCAGTCGTTCTTTTGTTTGAAGCCTTTGTTGCACTGGGGTGCAGTCTCAATGGCTGCTCTGCGCGCTTGATGGAGCAACTAAACTAATGTGAGCCGAGGATTGAGTTGGTGGAGGATTGCGCAGGCGGGGCAGCAGCAACATATGCAATGCGGCTTGACTTGACTTCAAAGTTCAGGGTGTTGCCAACTCAGTCCCGAGATATTTGTAAGACGGTAGGCCCTCTCCTGCAAGCCGATCCATTGCTATGCGGGCATACCAAACCACTCCTAATGGTAAGGAAGGCCTTTTCTTTGGGGGCGTGTCCCTGCCAATGTTAGCTGTCATCGAATGTTACCAAGAAGAGCGTAATTCCAATGTCCAGTCGCAACATTGGTGGACTTGAAGAACTTGATATTGATTGAGTTCGAGGCTGGACTTCAACTCCCGGCTTCCCATTCCATGGAAGACCTTATCTGTGTCTGAGCGATGCGCCCGAAAGCGAGAGTGGATGAAGCTTCACTATGTTTCTCATAGAGCCATGGTTGCACAACAACATGCAGTTGAATGAAGGTTTGCAACAGGCTTGGCAAAGCATCCATAGCACTTCCGATTGAACAGCGCAAGGTTGAGTCAGCTGAAGTTATTTCATTGTTGGCTTTGGCCCGGGGGTGACTGCAACAATGTTCCAACCTGGCCTTTCTGGGAGTTGTATCTTTGTTCCTGTGAATGTTGTTGCTTAGGCGTAAGTTGCGCACTCGAAGTAAGGTAAAACGGTAAACGTTAGAATCCACTTTTCACTGATTCCCAGATTCCGATGTATTTTCCCTGCAGTGACAGAACTGTTGAATGTCAACTAAGTTGAACTAAGTCAAAAGGCAACTAAGTCAAATGTGCACTGCTACTGGTTGCCGTGAACTGCCAAGTTGAGCACATGTTCATGGACATGAAGAACGTGGCCTGGGGTGGGCATTGCTTTTTGCACGATGAGTCTTGCTGCTTGGATGGAGAAAACGAGGCCAGGGTTGAATTCGCTGAGTTCATTAAGTCCAACCGGCTACTTGCTGGGGGAGTCGAGAGTCACTTCACGTCAAAGAGTGGTTCGCAGACATGTTTGTCATTGGTAGTGTTTTTTGTTACTGTTTGGTGCCCAGTCCACCACCAGCTCCAGGCCAAGAGCCCTGTGTACCAATGTAAACAATTGCAGATGTCATGGCGTTAGGCTGCAAAGCGCCAGGACATTTATGTTTGGGGCCCACCTTGCGCACCATATTCCCGGTTGAACAACAAGCGATACTAGAGCTCCTACAACCCGCTGGATGAACGCGACAGTCACGCCTTCCAAGACGGAGTTACCCACATAAGCCTCTTGGCTAGGTTGGCAAAAATGAAATCACAGCCGCCCCATTAAGCCTAGCAATGATTTGCACCCGCTTGCGAGTGCAGTTTTGGATCGTTTATTCCTGCAGCCGCCTACATTTTGGCGTACGCACTCTTTCCTAGGCCACTTCAGGCCCAAGGTGTGCATCATGGAAGAGGCACTTCAGAATCCTCTGCCAGTTTAATGCCTTCCTTGGATACGAATCAAAACGATGATCCAATTTGTGGGTTTGTTTCGGGGACTCAATGACTCACAAACGGTTCCTAAAATTTGCAGGAAGGCTTAGGTTGAACTATTTGTTCGAAGACCTTTGCTAGGCAGCCTGGCAAACATTTGGCTGTGGCACGTGTCTGTATATACTAAAGTTTGCTTTTGTTCTAATGTACGCCGGGTGCCTTGTACCCTACACAGTGCAAAGGGCAATCGGCCAGCCTGCTGCCCAAGTGCAGCAGCGTGCGAACCCTCCTCCTTCCTTGCTTGCTCCCTTGTGTATTTGCTCAGTTCTTGTCCTTGCAGCTTTCAGGAAGCTTTTGGTTTGGAGCTTGGGCAGCTTACAGGTGGCAGCTACGTTTTGCAAAGCCCCTCCCGCCCGCCCTCCCCTGATTTGGTTCAAGTGCCTGTCCCGGAGTTTGGTGGCCTTACCTGCAAGGCTGGCTTGGCCTGGTAGAACCCTATACGCTCAAATCTTTACAGTAGACTTAACTTAGGCGGCTTAGGGTTTTGGACGTTTAGGTAAGGGCTTCGGGCCCCGACGTTTAAAAACTTTGTCTGGGCTAAAGTTCCCTACTTAAACGTTCCAAACCCGAAACCTCGGCCCCCGTTCCTAAACCCTGTAAAAATTTAAGACTCCGGGTTTAAGAATTTTTCCCCAAACAGTTTACTGTTGGGGTTCTATCTTAGAAAGAAAAGAGCTGGCCACACTCACTGGCCACGCCCCTGAACTCTGTGGCTGGGCTCTGTGGCTGGGCCTTGTCCTCCTCTTGGCCGCGCCCCTGAACTCTGTCAACTCTGTGGCTGGGCTCTGTGGCTGTCTGGTGATAGCCCGTCCGCTATTCTGCAAGCCTAAAAAACTGCAATGCTTTAGTGTGTGAAGACAAGTGGATGTCTGCACGATTGACATGATGACTGCAGAGTTCCCTGCGTACGTCAATGTAGTGGTAATTTTTCCTCCTGGGTTGGCCAGGGGCGGGTCTGAAGTCGGTACAAACAGGGGCTTAAACTTTAAGCCCCTGTTTGTACCGACTTGGGACCCGCATTTCTTGCATCATGGCCCCGCGCCTGGGCCTTGTCCTCCTCTTGGCCACGCCCCTGGACTCTGTCAACTCTGTGGCTGGGCTCTGTGGCTGGGCCTTGTCCTCCTGTTGTCCTCCTCGTGGCCGCACCCCTGAGCTCTGTCAACTCTGTGGCTGGGCCTTGTCCCCCTCTTGTCCTCCTAGTATACAGCAACTCTGTGGCCCGGCTCTGTGTCCGGGTCTTGTCCTCCTCTTGTCCTTGTCTTGGCCGCGCCCCTGAACTCTGCGGCTGGGCTCTGTGGCCCGGCTCTGCGTCCGCACCTTTCCAAGAAGGACAAACAAACAACTATATAGGGTCACTCAAAAAGTTTTGTGTTTTCAGTTTTCTGAGCTTAGTTTGCTATATCTCCATCCACCTCCCATATATATATATATAAATAATGAGCAGCTCTCCGCCATTTTGATCCTCGCTTAGTTTTCTATATCTTCTTCCACCTCCCATATTTATGAATACTAGCTGCTCCTCCAAAAATGTTTCAGTGTTTCAGTGTCAATGCCGACAAAAATTCATTGATGAAGCAGTTTGCTCTTGGGGTGAAAGTAGGGCGAACCAAGAAATCGTTTTTGACTAATATTGGTCTTAAACGAATCGTTGAATCGTTTTGAGGCTGTTTGGTGTCTATGCTTGTATAATTTAAATGTCGGGGCCCGAAACCCTAGCCCCCGTTCCTAAACCTAAGCCATAAAATTTTTAGGGCTTAGGAGCGGCTAGTGCCCGAAACCCTAGCGAAGAAAAAGGTTTTAACATGCCCGGGCCAGAAACCCTAGCCCCCGTTCCTAAACCCTAGAATTTGTAGGCTGAGCGGCTGGTCCCAAACCCTAGCCAAGTAAAGGTTTTTAATGTCCGGGCCCAAAACCCTAACCCCCTAAAGGGTCTAGGGTTTAAGAGTCGCTAGTGGCCCAAACCCTAGCCAAGTCGAGGCTTTATAGTTTCGGGGCCCGAAACCCCGCTCCTAAGTCCTAAGCCAAAACACTTTCAGTGTTTAGGCTAGGTTTTAGGAGCAGGTAGTGGCCAAACCCTACCCAAGACAAGGTCTTAAATGTCGGGCCCCGAACATTACTTAAACGGAAACGCCCTAAATGAATCCCTAAATTGTTTAATAGCAACGATGAAGTAAGGGCGCGAAGCCCGAGCTAGGGTGTCAGGCCCCGGCATGTAAAACCTTGTCTTGGTTAGGGGTTGGGACGTTTAAATAAGGATTTAGTGCCCGACATGACATGAAAAAAGCTGGCTTAAAGTTCCCTTAGTTGAACATCCTTTGGGGTTTAGGACGTTTAAATAAGGGTTTCAGGCTCCCTGCAACTCGGCTAAAGTTCCTTTACTTATATAAACGCCCTAAGCCTAAACTTCCAGTTCCCGGCATCCTGCAACTTTGATAGGGCCCAAAGTGTTAGCGAAAGCAAGTTGAATTTCCACTGACAGACTCAAACAAACACTAATTAGGTGTGAGTGTTAATTGTTTCTTGAGTCTGAGGGCTGGACGCGTGTGTGTCAAAACTAGACTCGGCCATGATAAGAATCAGTATAGACAGGCTGTCCTATAGGGTCATCGTAGGGCGTGGCGCAAGCTAGGCGAGCGAACTTTCTAACAGTTGGGTCACAGTTCAAATTTAAGAACGAACATTAGGAGCAACGCACTTGCTAGAGATTGTTAGAGGTAGGCGGTACGCCGTCATTAGAAACCCACTCCTACTAACGCGCGCACTCTTCATTTTGACCTTGCCATTTTGTGGTTGGCAACGCAGGTGCAATCAATCGAGGACACCTTCCCTGGTTTGGAGGAGGCAACCGGTCACAAGGCCTGGAGGGGACCCTGCAAAACACTAAAGACTTGTTAGAACCACACGCAAGGGCACAAGGTAAATTATTTGCTGCTTTGCTGGTCAGTCAAATCAGTGAAAACTGATACTGTGATTCTGTTTTCGCCGAGCAAGAGCGCAGACTCAAGGCACAATGTATGAGTCAGGACATTCGAACAAGAAGCAAAGTTGCCATTGCAGTGACTGAACATCAAGCAGAAAGCAGCAAGCAACAAGAGCGGAACAAAGGCAAACAACGCACTTGGCATGGAGCATGTTTTTTGAGCAGCCTGATGCCTGATGCCAATCTCCGATTTGTGGGATCGCCCGGAAAGCACACATGGTGATGACAAGCGGCCGCGGTATCAAACCAATAGGCTACAAAACTTGGCCAGGACGGAGAAAGCACGAGCGCAGATCGGCTTGAACCGGCAGCGCCGAAAGCTGGTTGGTAGCCAATGTGAAAATGACATTTGCCAGAAAGCCACTTCGTCCTTGCTGGGCAATTTACCCCAGGACTCGGATGAATACTTAGAGCGCTTAGCGAAGCATTTCCTGACAACAAGCTTTTTCCGAGTGCAGTACCAGAATCCATACCATGGAAACAGAGCCATGCTAGATAGGGACCGCGCCCGAGTTGTCACCAGTGTGTTGGAAGCTTCTGCTCAGAGATTGAATGCCCTCGTTGAAAGCCAGCATCAGCCTCCGCTTCATATCCTGAATGTGCATTGTGTTGACGACACAAGCGTTCGAATGAGAGGCCCCAACGCAGCAACGGTTTTATACACAGTCATGAACTCAGTACAGTCCTTGCACATTCGAGCCAGTGCTGCTTCGGATCAGGTGACCAGTGCGAGGGTGCCCACACCTCTCATTGTTTTGGAATCTCCAACCGCTGAAAGCATTCACTTGTCTTTTGCAGAATCTGCCATTGTCACTTCCCAGGGTGTGTGGGAAAGCTGTTTCAGCGAATGGGGGTCCATGCAGATCTGACCAAGATTGCCCTGTTCCGCACGTTTGTGTTCGTCGGAGATTCACTCAGGGCCAATCACAAAGCCTTCGATCTAGAGCTGGCCATGCTGCACCAGCTGAGGCAAGACCCAACTTCGAAAGGTCACTTGGCGCTAAAAGTTCAGTGCGCTATGCACCAAACATGCCTTATTCGTAAGCCGGCAGTCCTCCTCATCCCGCACTATTGGGCTACACTAGTCCGATTATCCCATTTATTCGAAACACTGAGTTTTCGAAAGCAGCTTGCCACAGCTTTGACTGAAGTCATAAGTTCATCCTTTGTTCATATTCAGCAGATGGAGCTTCCACCAGACATGATCTTGTGGCAAGCCCAAGCAGAGCGATTGAAAGCTGTGTATTGGAGCAATTCCAGGAAGAGAAGAGACCTTTTGGCTGAGTGCTTGGAGTTTTGCAACGGCAATTTGGCCGAAACTGCTGTAACACATTTTTGCAAATTCACAGCAAGTGGAGAACCGTGCTGCGAAAACTCCCAAGCTGCACTTTCAAAAGCATTGAAACTATTAGTGCCCTTCTTCTCAGCCGGCTTTGCACCGCCACTTCTATATAGATTCAAATACTATTCAGAAGCTGCTGGCTATGCCCTGATCCGCTGTCATGTTCATAGACTCCTTGTGCGCGCATTGGAGTGCATCGATTCGGGCAGCAGTGAATCAACTTCAGTCTCTGCTGAACTGGTCGGGATGTTGCTTGGAGAGATGGAGCAGTCAGTGGACGATGGTGAGCTTGAGCACGCTGTCAATGATTTGTTGGGAGCAGAGCATGATACTTCATTTGCAGACAGCAACGCGAAAAGACGTCAGCAGGTGAAAGCTGCACTGTCCCAGCCATCATTTGCACAATCTGCCATCATCGTAGGCTTGGTCATTCAGCCAATGGATGGCATTCTGAACCGATTCCTTCGCAGGAGTGAAGAAATCGCTAAGCTCACCCTTCTTGGCCGCAGCGATCCCAGCTGGCAAGAGAAAGCCATGAAGACCAAAGGTTTGTTTCTAGAATATATTTCAGGAAAGCTTGGGATGGATTTGGTGGCCAAATACTCTCACCTTTTGCAAGGGGGGTTTGCAGGCATGCTGGAGATTGGATTGGAACCTGTACCGTCCAACTTGCAAACATTTTTTACCATGGTGGTTCTTTGCATTACTGACACCTGGCGTCGGTTTGTGCACAACTTCAGGTCCTTCCCCCACAGGCTGTTCGAACTCCTGTCCGAATGCGAGAACTGCGCAACTGACGACTAGAAGGTTGCAAAGTTTTGCACTTTGCGGGACGACTTTCATACACAATTGCAGCGCTGTTCCTCCTGCGTTGACGCTGAGTTTTCTCACGTCGTCTTGGGATCTTTCCCATCGTGCCTATCGAAGCAGCCACCAGCCATTCAGAAGGAAGCTCAAGAGCAAATCAATGCCATCCTTTGCGACATAGCCACCTTTTGTCCCATTACCTCTGATCCAGTTGAAGTCAAGAACGGGCAAGTACAACTAGTAGCTTCCAGGCGAGGAAACGTGGCAGTGAAGGGGCCTCGCAGCTCCCGTGAAAGCAGCGTGCTTATGACCATTGTTCGGGATCACGACTTAATCAAGCACTGGGTTGAGGACCAAGTTCTCCCCAAGAAGCGGGCGGTTGCTGGCATTTTGAAGCGGAGTGGCCTGAAGTATGCAGCCTCTTGGACTTGATTGCTTACTATTACTACCCCCTAATACCGATACCCTCTAACCCATCATTTCCTGGCCCAAACTATTTGATGTTCGAGGATCATGGGTCGTGGACCAAGTCTGAACTTCCAAGCAACCTAATCCGAATCCAGTTGGTTTGTGTTGCTTTCAGTTGTGTACTGACCCTGCGACCTGGCAGCCCAGGACCACAAGAGCACAGGGCCTTTGCGACCCACACGGACCAGCCAAGAGTCTATGCAGAACAAAGCCAAGCGGGTGAAGAAAGCTGCCACAAGAAAGCTGCGCAAGGTTTCTGGCTGGAACATCTTCCAGAGAGAGAAGTTGAAGGGATTAGCGACATGCTTGGAGCCCTCGGCGTACAAGGCCCAAGTCAAAGCTCTCTCTCGAGAATGGAAGAACGCTGCGCAGGAGGACCGGGCGGCTTATGTGGTGCAAGCAGAGTATGAACACAGTATTCGGGAAAAGCTTGTGGACAAGCCCTTGCCTGCAAAGGGGCAGGCTCCTCTCAAAGAGGAAGCAGTGGTGGGAAGTCGCGCCCTCCAAAAGCTGGCAGTGTGCCGACTCATCAACAACTACAAAATTGCCGAGTCACATCCAATTTGGACTTCAGATGCAACTATGGGATGCAGCAGCATGCCTGTCCTTCAACAATTGTTTCATGCTGTTCTTTCCCCCCTGAAGTTTCGTAGTGTGGTGGGCACTTGCATTTATTGCCGGCGTTCATTGATTCCATCAAGCCAAACCAAGCTGCACATAAAACGCAGCACACGTTTAAACCTGAGAATATAGATATATTGACATATGTTTGTTTGTCAATTAGGCGATAGTACAAGAAATTGAAATCGCAGATTAATTCTATAGCCCGGCTTTTGCTTGACCATTTTTCACTTCAACAGGCATGTGCGCTTTGAAGCCGGAGATGCTGGATACTGTGAAGAGCGACGAGGAATGCTGCGCCTTTCTGAGAGAAGCTTTGCACGCGCCATTCAAACCACTACTTTCTGAAGGCGCAGTTTTGGAGGTTCCAGAGCCTCCATGCCACCTTCAGCACGGTATGTGCATTTGTTCAGACTTCTTTCCAACGGCAAGACAGTTTGTGGTAGCTTTCCATTCAGCATTGGTTGGCAACTCTGTCAAGACAGGTGACTTGCTTCACATCATTGCAGGTGATTGCGGGGAATCCCATTTGGTATTCCTTGGTGCCATTCTTCGAAGACCAACGTGCCACGTTCTTCTTCACACCATGCTGCAAGATGACATGCTTTGCCACTTTCCAGAACCGTGCTTTCCAGTTGCAAGCACTTCGCTTCAGCTGTTTCACCAAATGCTAGCAAGCCAGGCTACCAGTGGGTTTGGCCCTGCCTTTCAGCAGGTGCAGGTAGAAGTCCTGAAGTATGACTTGTCTGTGTCACTTGAAAGAAAGGTATTGTGCATCGACCCTGGAAATGTGTCCAAAACATTTATTGTCAACATCAACGCTCCTTCCGTGCCCAGAAAGCCACGTGCAAAGCTGCCCTTTGGGCTTGCCATGCCAAAAACGAAAATCACGAAACAAAGGACGACCATCAAGGTCAAAAGGAGTGGGGCAGGAGCAAAAGCAAAATCAAAAGGGGCAGGGAAAGGGAAGAAAACACATCGGAAGGCAACGGGAGTTGAGGACAAGCTTGAGGTTGATGCTGAAAGCTGTGAAAGCACTGAAAGCGATTCAGATTCAGTTTCGAGCTCAACCACCACTCAGACTCAGGCGAGTCAGGAGTCCAAGGCAAAGGTGAGTGTAAAAGGAGGCAAGTGCGCCAAGGACAGCAGAGAAATCGAAGTAGACGTTGTCATGCCTGCTTCAAACCAAGCCGGGGAGGAGGAGAAAACTGCAAGAGCTTTGATTGCAGAGCAAGAGATTGCGACAGCAACGTTCTTGCAAAATCATGAAACGCAACAAAGGTCAGGAATGTCAGGCGGGACATACTTTTCGCAGGAGATCGGTCTCGACCAGGGTGCCATAGCAGTGTCTGGCCGCAGTAAATGCTGGTTTTGCAAAGCAGCAATCCCGAAGGATACTGTGAGGTTCTCCTACTTTCATTCCCGCACTAGACCTTCAAACTGGTTGCATTCCGCATGCGTTGCTGCCACTGTTCGAAAAGAGCAGTGTGTGGAGCACGCCAAACACCGTTTGGAATTGCTACTGGCCAAGCCAACAAGCAGCAGCAAGCAACAAGATTCTTCAGAAGCCCGAATTGCGGCAGCTGTGTCAGTCATTTTGCAAGAACTGCTAAGCAGTTCTTCAAGCAGCAGTGGGGTTTGCCATGCGTAGGCAGAAAGAGGTAGACGGAATTGGAATCCATTGCTTTTTGACATCTTTTCCAAGTGCTAAGCTGTTAAGTAGGCAGTGTCTCCACGACTAGTTTGGACAGGTCAGGACATTCCAACAGTAGAGCCACCCTATGAGAATGAAACGGTAGCCCAATCAGCTTTCTAAATTTGCATTCCACATTCCTGCAGTCAGGACCAAGCTTCAATTGTTTTTTCAACTGATGCCGATGCCCGTTCGATAGTGCCCCATAGTGCCCCAACATTTTTACTTCGCCTAGCTTAGCCATTTTCTAAATATCCCATATCATATATTCATATTCAGAATTCATATTATTACAGACTAATGGTATATGTATATGTAACATGTTGCTTGGAAGCTGCTTTTGTTTTTTGCAGATTTGAAGGCTCCCAATTCCCGATTGTGTTGAAAGCAGCTTGGTGTTGGCGGGTCAAGCAATCGAGGAGTGGTTTTAGATGTTCATTTAATGTCAGTATGCTGTGGGGTGATGCCAAGCTTTCACATGGCTTGGCACGCAAGGCTGCAAGGTTGTCAAAGTCTAAAATAGGTTCGGTTTGCGTGTACCTGCCGCAGCACGATCTGGCAAGTTCCTTCTGCTAGCGCTAAGTGACTGACGTAACACGTGTGATGGAGCAGTCGCCGCCCCTTCCTTGGGACTTGCTTGTCATTTTTGTCATTGCCCTGTGGGTTACGAGTTTGGCCTCTTTCACTGCAGGCGTATTGGTGCCTCTCCGTTTGAATTAGTTGAGTTGCGCCGCATCTTTCATTTTGTTGGACAAAAGGTTTGCGAAGGTGGCCCAGGCTAGAAGCCTCATGCTGTGCCCAAGGTCAGTTATTTTTGTCACTGTCGCTGGAAATCAAAGCCTTCGGAACCTTTGGTGCAAGATTCCAAGAACTTGCCTCCGCATGCCATTCCTGAGCCTGACGAAAGTTCAGTGTCACCACGTGGCAGCTCGTGCGACATGTGCTTCAAGGTAGCGCAGAATACTCCGAGTTTGGTCTATGACATCCGTGACAAGCAACTCCGTGATAGACGGGCAGCCCTTAAAGCAGCACTACCACTACCCTCAACTGTGGTGTACGTTCCTCACATTGATCCCCACAAAGGGCACGCTCACGTGAGCCTGAATTGTGGGGGAAGGACGCTTTGCATTGATAGTATGATTCTTGTTATTAAGTAAGTTATTAAATCAATTTTGTTGACTCAGTCCGAGTCTGCCATGTTTGTACCTAGTGCACCCTAGGTAATCAACTGATTGCTTTTCACCTTTCTGAACCTTCAAGAAACAGAAACAAAATCGTTGTCATATGCGTGCATCATGCACTCCACTGTAGAAGCGCACTGTGCTCCAGCTCTTTGTTTCCTTCGGGTAGGAAAGGCTCCTTGCGGATTTGGATCCCAAAAATGTTTTCTGAAACATCATTGTGACATCATCATTTTGCTGCTTCGGGGTTGGTCCACCTTTTGGCCCTTGTAAGGGACTACGTTCCAGTCAGCCTGTGCAAGAAGTGTGCCATCGCCAAAGCATTTGAATGATGCTCAGAGTCTTCCAGGGATCACCACGTGGACAGCAGACGCGAGTGCATTTGCTGAAGAGGAGTTCGGAGTCACCATGGTTTTTGCAGATGTGGAACAGCCGAGTAGTTTGGGAAAAAAGAGCGCTTTTGGGACTGTATGGAATGAGTTTTAGATCGCAGTGTTCTAGTGCAAAAGCAGGCAAATATACTAATATGCAGTATGCATATGTAACATATGTATGATGCTGCACTGCATATATTGTATTGCTGTATTTGCACCTTGCAAAGTTCTTGCAACTTCAACTTGAAAACCAAGTTGATAGAGAGGACGGGAACTCCACGATTCTTTAGTCTAGGCAGAGATGAATCTGGAATAGTTTTGGGACTCCTGGCGTTCATGGTCCCATTTGTTTATGTTTCAGTGCAAGGAAACCAAAGGCGGCTCATGGATGAAATGCGAAATGGTGGTCACTCTGAGGGAGCGAAGGTAGACAACCACGCTTCAAGGTTCAAGGCCCACACATTAGCACAACCTCGAAGAAAAGGTATCAGGCTCCAGGGTTCAGGGATAGATGTAAAAGGTGAGAAGTTGTGTAGCGTTCAACCAAATTCAATCTGTGGTGTGGCCAATGCCCTTCCGCCAGACAGCGCTGGACTACATGATGCACAAGTTCAAGACTGCCTTGCCTGCATACAATGCAGAGATCTTCAGGGTACAGCCACTTGTTCTTTTAGAGCGGTGATTATGACTTAACTTAGCGTTGACAAGGTTTGGTTGGGGAAAATATCCGCTACAAGCCTGTATCTAGGGGACCTTCAAAAGAACGCGGTGCGGATGGAGAGTTAAGTTTGTAAGACAATGTAAGTCATGTGAGGCTGTAAGAGACCCTTAGACGTAGACAGTCGGCCGTGACGGAGTAGGTTTAGTAGAATAACGCATAGTGCAACTAGACTATATATCCGCGATGCTTTCGACTACAAAGATCAGAGTAACTTAATAAAATCGTTCTCACAAAAAACAACACAGAGGCGGTCTTGCATTGTCACAGTGAGTCAGGCTACACTAAGTTTGCAGAATTTGTTCGGGCGCTTTGTGTAAGGACCTCTGACTGGAACATCCCTCAGTCCCGAGGGAGGATCTACATCCTCCTTGTGCGGAACAATTTGGCATCAGTGGAAGATCTCAAGATGTTCCATCACCTTTTTGACCAGTTTCTGCCCAAGAACACTCCCGAGAGAAAAACGACGATCAAACAGGTTCGGGACTACGTGAAGTCTCTGTTAGAAGCCTACGGGGAGGAACCTGTTCTTCCCCAACCTGCCCAGGACTGGGTGCCAAACAATTTCTCAAGGGCTGAGCCATTTTGAAGCCTTTGGAGCGGTTTGGAGCTGTTTGCTAGGGGCCGGAGCCATTTCTAAAAGAACAAGAATGCAGCTGGAGCTATCTCTTTTTTCTTGTAATCCTTGAAGGATGGTCGACGGAGTGCAGCTGCTCAGCTGAGGGAGCGCAAAGCTGCCAAGGATTTGAAGCTGGGTAAGAGGAATGGCCCGTGCATCTACTCAGATGACATCCCGTTCCAGCAGAAAGTCTTGCTGAATTCCAGGCAGAAGAAGGTCCTAGACCTCACCTATGCAAGTTTGCTGGATTCCTGGCTGCAAAAGCAAAGATGCCGTGCTAGGTGGCTAGGAGCGTGGTGAAAGGAGCTGGCTCGCAGTTTGCAGGGAGACAGCCAGCTCAGTTGGGGTGGACATGATTGACAAGTGTTTCGGGTGCTTGCCAGTTAAAGACCAGGGACTGTTCGGACTTTGCTTCCAGAAGCTGAGGCTAGAAGTAATTTAGACCATGTTTTATATATATATATGACATGTGCAACTTGGGATGGGTTGGTGACACTAGCAGGTGACAAACACATGGTTATCTGCTCGGTCCAACTCGGTTCTGGTATTGTTTCAGGGGATTCTCGGTTCAATAGACCGAAACCTTTGTATGAGCCACGACCTGGGTCTTTCAAGGTTATCATGAACCATCAATCAAGGTGAGGGAAAGAATCACAATCATGAGTTGAAACCTATCTTAGCTTGTCATGTTATTTTGTTAATATGATTTTGTTGGCCTTAAATAATGGCAACACGACATCATAGGAGAAGCTAGAAACCGCTCGAAATCGCTCCAAGCCGTTTCTTGGATAGGTTTTTCATGGCCTGTAGAAGCCGCTTGGAACCGCTCCGAGCCATTGGTTGCCCATCTCTCACCGATGTTGGTTTAGAAATCGCTCCAAACCGCTCCGAACTATTCAGGTTTTTGGCGCAGGGTTGCACAGTGATGGGTGAGTAATAGCTCCAAACCGCTCCAAACCGCTCCGAGCTATTTCTTTGGGGGTGCTCACAAACCGCTCGGAACCGCTCCGTGCCGTTCCATCTCATTATCATGTTGTTGTTCATATGCTACATTATGTTGAAACATATAACATATATTATATCATATATTGACATGTACAACAATATAAAATAGCTTCATACATATTACATCATAGTACAATACCTCGCATCTCATCTATCATATGGGTGGAACATATATCAGTACATATGATAATTCATGTATCATATACACTTAATGTTATGTTTACACTCGATTGTTTGACTTTTGTATGTGCACATGTGAGGTGTGACTTGTATCCTTACAACTATCAACTATCACAACCTAAAACCACCTGTAGTAGACGCGCCCTTTCAGGCACAAAGGAACAACTCTTAAGGTTCGTATGTGTGTGGCGGCTGTACTTCTCGTTTTCTTGCAAAGACAATTCGTGCACTATAACCAGCCGGCAAACACAGTCACATTGGGGTCTTTAGAGGATAGTTTTGTTTTACACTGTGGTAATTGTGTGTGTTGACCTTTCTGAGCTATGCCCCCAACAAGTACGGATGGTCACTATTCATTGACTCGGTGTCAAGGGACAACATGCACTGCGTATCACTACTACAGGTGTTGTTTTGATGTCAGCGACTCACGTTTGTACGCACAAACAAGTACAACACACGGACAGGCCACGCGGCTCCTACACTACTGAATGGGCTACAAGACATGTGTGTTGTGACAGTGTTGTGTGGGTTATGCTAACAGCCAGGGGTGGTTTTCACCATTGCCAACGTCAGTCTGTCATATTGGGAGATTGCCTGTGAATACCACTCCTGCAACAGTGTGTTGGATTTGGGCCCCGAATTGGATGTTCTGATGCTCACAGAACTCACACCTCAAAAAAAGGTACTTTTCTTCGACTGTTGCACGTTGATAGTTAACTTGCAAGCAGCAGCAGCCACAATGACAAGAGTTGGAGGACACACAGTATCAGTATTACTATATGTATACTGTATATACTGTATATAACATTTAAATATAATATTATATATATATATATTTGTACATGTTCAATACAAGTGCTGCATCTTGGAACCCACAAGCGTCCCGCTTTCCAACCCTGTGACTGTGCAACTGACTTTTTCCAAATACAACCACCACTCACAAGAAACCAGTGGCACTAGTAAGTAGGTCTTGTCACTGATGCGATCTCCAATGGAGCACCTGAAACCCAAATAATTTTCTGAAGGAGCTCTGGTAGGAGGTTCGTGGGCCACACCTGCAACAACCTTGCAGAAGACAGAGGCGGACTGATAAGCCCCATTGTTAGGATCTGTGAGTAGGATGTTTTTTTTGTGATTGAAAGTTCTACCACCGAGAATTCAGCGACTGTCTTCGACAAAGCAATCTCACTTCTCAAATTCTTGCACACCGGTTACTGCTTCCGAATGATGATTGATGACGACTCTTGTCATCATGTCCGACTTGAAAGTCTTGGGTCTTTGGACCTACAAGAACTGTCAGACTACACAGCACATTGTCGCAACCCGGATTGATGAGTGAGGTGAGGTATGGATGTTGGCAGCACTGAAAGTCAGTCAAGGCAATGACCGCGTGACCGCGGACCTGTTCCGCTTGCGCTTGCAGAGCGCACTGATGCAATCCGAGGATGAGGTGTTTGAATGGAACAGCATGCGCCTGTTTGTTGGTGCGTTGTTGGTCGTCCGGGCACTTTTAGGTAATAACTAGCAGTTGGCAAAGCCTGTTGGAGACCAACGTTTGCCTTGTTTTGATCTGGATCGGAGTTGCACTGCGATCTGTGCGACAAGCTTGCATGATGCACACGTCGTGACTCCCGGGTCCCGTGTTGACGTTTTCCATCGTTTTCCCATCTTTGCCAGCTCTCTGCTCGTGTCCAGGATGACTACATTGATCCGATTGCCGGTGGATACATTGTGGACCTGGCCCGTCCCTGGACAGCCAGAATCTACTCTTTTTCCCCAACCCGTTTTTCTGTTTCGTGTTTGGGCTTGGGGCTCGGGGTAGTGTGTCCAGGCAGTCTGCAGTCTCAAGTCCTTCTTTGGTGGTCTTGGGCCCACTCAGGCTCCTATGACAGGCGAACTTTGTCAGCAAGTCAGATTTCTGCATTGACCAGCAATGTCCGGCTGTTCGACATCGCTGCCAAAGAGTTGCTTTGTGGCCAGGACTGTAGCTGAACGAGGGTGGTCTGATAGGTGGGGCTTTTGAGGCCACGTGGAAAGACTAAATATTTCTGGGTGTTGGCAGCGTGCACTTTGCAAACAAGTGTTCACTGACAGGCACGTAAGGCAAATACTTGGCATTCAGAAGTGGGGGGAGAGTGGGCGGAATCATGTCAATGCAATGCAATCAATGCATGTCAATGCACACGTTATATGATGTCCTCTAGATGATACTGACACGAAGACTGAGACTCATAGACTGGTAGACATAGATAGTCTGAGGGGTGTAAAGCCAGAATGTCAGGGTATTGCCGGTGCAGTCCACAGCTGCAGGACCTGCTTGCGCTCCAGGGCTACGACATCAGCAAGCTGACGCACGAGAGCATTTCAAGGTTCACGTATTCAGAGATCAACCGGATTGCAGGACTTGGAGAACTTAATTGCTGGAAGGGACGCAGTGCTTGCAAATATTTTTGTGTGACACTCACACACTCACTGGTCATTGCGTTGCTATGTCCTCATACATTACACTACACAGTGTTCTGCACTAGGCGAGAGCAACACCCGAAACTGTCACTGTCAACAGGGCATTGAATAAATTCATTTTTCCCCAAACAGTTTACTGTTGGGGTTCTATCTTAGAAAGAAAAGAGCTGGCCACACTCACTGGCCACGCCCCTGAACTCTGTGGCTGGGCTCCGTGGCTGGGCTCTGTGGCTGGGCCTTGTCCTCCTCTTGTCCTCCTCTTGCCCGCGCCCCTGAACTCTGTCAACTCTGTAGCTGGGCTCTGTGGCTGTCTGGTGATAGCCCGTCCGCTATTCTGCAAGCCTAAAAAACTGCAATGCTTTAGTGTGTGAAGACAAGTGGATGTCTGCACGATTGACATGACGACTGCAGAGTTCCCTGCGTACGTCAATGTAGTGGTAATTTTTCCTCTTGGGTTGGCCAGGGGCGGGTCTGAAGTCGGTACAAACAGGGGCTTAAACTTTAAGCCCCTGTTTGTACCGACTTGGGACCCGCATTTCTTGCATCATGGCCCCGCGCCTGGGCCTTGTCCTCCTCTTGGCCGCGCCCCTGGACTCTGTCAACTCTGTGGCTGGGCTCTGTGGCTGGGCCTTGTCCCCCTCTTGTCCCCCTAGTATACAGCAACTCTGTGGCCCGGCTCTGTGGCCCGGCTCTGTGTCCGGGTCTTGTCCTCCTCTTGTCCTTGTCTTGGCCGCGCCCCTGAACTCTGTGGCTGGGCTCTGTGGCCCGGCTCTGCGTCCGCATCTTTCCAAGAAGGACAAACAAACAACTATATAGGGTCACTCAAAAAGTTTTGTTCTTTCAGTTTTCTGAGCTTAGTTTGCTATATCTCCATCCACCTCCCATATATATAAATAATGAGCAGCTCTCCGCCATTTTGATCCTCGCTTAGTTTTCTATATCTTCTTCCACCTCCCATATTTATGAATACTAGCTGCTCCTCCAAAAATGTTTCAGTGTTTCAGTGCCAATGCCGACAAAAATTCATTGATGAAGCAGTTTGCTCTTGGGGTGAAAGTAGGACGAACCAAGAAATCGTTTTTTGACTAATATTGGTCTTAAACGAATCGTTGAATCGTTTTGAGGCTGTTTGGGGTCTATGCTTGTATAATTGTTGAGACTTCCTTTGCTGCGACCGAGTAGGTTGTGACCAGCGACTGACTTTGCTGCAGGAGAAGCCATGTTAGCCCCGGTCATTGGGACTCTTCTTGGCTTGGCTCTCTATGGCATAGTGATTCCAAGCAAGGGGGGAGGTCGCTTCAACCTGTCTCCGGTGCTTCGCTTTAGAGCCGGAGGGTTTTCCAATGATCCATGGAACCCGCACTTGCCAATTGCCAGAGAAGTTCAGCTCCCTTTCACTTTCAACAAAGGATTGTGTGGAGTGTTCATTTGGCTGCCTGAGAATCAGGCTGGAAGCAACAAGTTTTGTGAAGTGTGTAGGCTTGGGTTTGCCGTTGGCAAACCAGTCTTTGTTTGGCGGATCCGCCTTGGGCCCATTTTTGATGACTCCACTCTGGTGACCTTGCACCCGGAGTGCGTTTCACAACGGTGCACTCTTTTTGGCAAGGAAGCCGACACCTTGCAATATGTCAACGAGTTCCTTGATAAGTGGGAGCCTGACATCATGCATTCGAAGACGCATGAGGCACTCATGTTGGCGAAGACCGATCTTGAAGGTGTGTGCTGTGATTAATTCGGTCTTCTGATGGCCACTGGCCACTGACCATGGCTTGGAGCTGACACAATGGAGATGGACTCACTCACTTATATAAGGTGGTTGGATGCGAAGTGAACAGTCTGATTCCTTTCTTGTAGAGTCTAGTCTAGTCTATAGTTTTGTTTGCGTCTATGGTTTATATATAGAGTCTAGCCTAGCGTTTGCTTTTATTTGTTTTTGTTGTTGCTTTGTTTGCGTGGGAAATTGTGGTCCGTGCGTCCAGTGTCAGTGTGAACTTTGCAGCGCCGACTTTGAACGAGACCAGGAACACCAGGCCAAAGTAACCCAGCCTTTGAGGGATGCCTGCCCAAACTTTCGCCTTCACATAGGTATCATAGAGGGCAATGAAACGTTCGCCATCTTGGTTCAATTTTAGGGGAAGTTTGGTAGACAGGCAGTGGGTTGCTGGCAAGGCTTCGGACTGGTGTAGGATGGCTTCTGAGGCCCAAAAAGAAGACCTGAGTCTCGGGGTTGTGTTTTCTTGAGAAGCCACAGTCTCAGAAGGTAGCAGGAATGCATTCTAGGCACGGAGCTGGAGCTGCGTGCGGGGGTATGAGTCGATGTCGATGTAAGTTGCGAGGCTCACCAGTGCTCACGAGGCCGTTTGCGTCCTTGCTTCCTTGACGTGGGTCAAGCATGGCTACTGATGGGAGTGGGGGCGATGCCTTGCAGGAGATGACCCAATGCGTGCTTTGTCACCAAACCTTTGGCTCAGATGACAAGGACCGGGTCAGTCACGATCAGTTCTACACTTTGTGTTTTAAGGGTCCTTGGCCTAGAGAGGCACTCGTTGAAGATGTTGAGAGGTTATAGCTATAGGCAGGCTGGTTGTATAGTACAGTATATTTATAACTATAAATTTATAATCACTGACTATAGTCTATAGTCAAATTAGGGCAGACCTTTTGCGCTTGAAAGGACTGTCCGGATGGGCACACCATGTCAGTGCAGCCATCTAAATCGCAGAACCACGGGTCCTGCATGAAGTGCCTGTACATTCACCGTGGATCATTTAAGAATGTTCCCTTGCCTGTTTTGGTTTCCGAGAAAGCCAAGTCTGAAGCTTTGGAAAGCAAGCAGCTCAGCTCAGATTCAGAGTGTCCAATTGAAAAGGTTGCGGGTTTCTGTGATGTAACAGGCCTGACAGGCCCAGCCTGTTTGTTTTCTCGTTTCCTTTGTTTGGGGAATCAAAGCGTGCCTTTTTTTCCAACAGCCATCAAATATCAAAGACCCACCAATTCTGCAACCTCCAGGCAATACCCCCGCATATCACTGGTGTCACTGCTAGCCATTTTCTGGTGATGACCCTCCGCCTTCAAGGTTCGCGAAGCTCAGATCGACGCACGTGGTTTTGCTTTGCAAGAACCCTCGCGCAAAGCCCAGACACGAACATGTGGATTACAAGCTCTACACGGTGAAGGAGGACCAGTCTTATCTAGACGTTCGGAAAGATGCTTGGCTTTGTTTTTGCCAGGTGTTGTAGGGTGAGTTGGAGGCGGGGCATTTGACAACTCATATGTCTCACCATGCTGTGTTCAGATTAGAGTCTCAGAGCTGGGCCTTTAGCGTACACAGTACACCTTATTGAACTCGGGTTTGGTCAGTGCAAATTTCAGGGAGGTGTGACCCTGGCATTTGTGCCTGCAATGGAGCAATCAATGAGAGCTCATCATCCAAGGAAATGATCTGGATGTCCATCCGCGACTACTTTGACAAGCATGCAGATGCTGACGCCCGCAAGCGCTGCAAAAACCTCTCTCAGAAGAAATCTTATTTGGTCAACACCCTGCAAATCAGCCTTCAGATGGACAAGGGCTGCAACAAAAAAACACACAAAACAGTCACAGTCAGACTGTAAACACAATATACAAACAATATGTCCTCTCCAACTCCAACTAGCCTCTGGAAACCTTTTTCTGGAAGTACCATAGGATTCGGTTCGTTTGGGCAAGTCAGACTTGTGGCTAGTTCATTGACTCAAGGAATTGTTGACTTGTAGGCCCTTCCAATCCTTCCTTCCTTCCCCTTAAAAGGGGCTCTTGTTGAAGTTTCATTCATTGGCCTGCTCCAGGACGATGAAGGGCAAGAAGGTGTTGCGATCGAGAAGAACCCAGGGCAAAAAGTCATCACCTTGGGCAAGAAGGTCTCCACTAGCAAGGTGAAGCATGTCGATCACGACAGCAAGCAGGAAGCTGCAGATGCTCACGAGAAAGCCAGGAGCAATCTACAGGTGAACGTCCAGAGCCAGGAACAGCACTTTGAACAACTCTGACTTGCAACCCCCAAAGAACCAGGGTTGTTGCCTGTTGCTTTTCCGGTACCTAAATTTTAATCACCTGTTCTCCTTCCCCTTTCGTGTCTCCCCCTTTTCTCAAGTTGGCAAACGCTTGCCTCCGGACTGTTGGCAACGTGGGGCTGCCCGCTTTAATGGGCAGACTGTGACTGTGTTCTAGGTTTGCTTCTCAACTCCTGCGAACGCGCAGGAAAAGGTCGACGAGAAGCTGAAGGACATCAATGAGAAGGCCGCTGAATCTTCTTCCAGCAGCTCCAGCTCAAGTGAGAGCGAGAGTAACTCTTCCGAGTCAGAGTTTGGGTTGCCCCAAACGAAATCGAAGGCGGCAAGGGCCAAGAACCCAGAAAGGTCGGCAAGGGAGGCAGCCAAGCCCCAGCCAAGGAGCAAGCGCCTAGCTTGTCAGAGGTGCCCACGCCTTCGGCTGTTGACCTGGCCAGCGGGTTGGCCACCCCAAGATCAGAGAGGTCTTCTGTGTCTGAGAAAGCTCTTGTGGACAAGGCCAAGGCAGTGTTGGCGCAGTTGGACCAGTTGCACGCCATTGACCTGTGGACAGGATCCGTCAAGCCAAAAGAGGTGGAGACCAGGATCGCCAAGGCTGTTGAGCTGTCAAGCAGGCTCGAGCAGCGCGTTGCAGACAAGGAAGCAAAGGAACTAGCGGACAAGTTGACCAACGCAAGCAACCAGGCCTCTCAGCTCTTTGAGATGGTGCAGCGCCTGCGCGATTGCTCCGATTGGGCAGCTGCCTTGATTGACATGAAGGATGTCCTGGCCAATATGATCGCTCCTTTGTCCCTTGATCAAACCCTGGGCTTTATGACGGACATTGCCAAGTACTTGGTTGAGGACTTATGCAACTAGAGTCTTTTGAAATGTTTTGAATATGCCGTGGTTGAGTTAAGTATGAGATTGTGCCAGGGTGTTAGGCCACAATGGTGACTCATGAGTCATCATGAGCCAGACTTTGGTCAGCTGCTGCACCGCTAGGTTCCAATTTCTGTAGTCTTGCACTGCAGTAGCAGTAGCGTGTTCAACGCCATTGTGCATGGATTGCGGTTGCCCTTCTAGGAGAATGTTTCCACATGCGGCTCGAGCCGTGCTTTGTTTTGCTTCTTGGGCACTGCGGGTGGTTCATCTGATGGTTTTGCCCTTTCCTGCATCGTGCCAACATCTACAATCACTGCAGAAGAGGCCAAAACAATTTCAGCCCAAGTGCAGGTGAACAGCTTGAACTTTTGGGTGGACAAGTTGAGAAGCACCAATACCCCTGACATCCTTGAAAACATCTTGGCAAGCCTCCCACTGCACTGGTACTCCCCTGACTGCGTGAGGACTGCAAACCTACCTGCTGGCTGCTTTTTTAGTTGGTTGAAACGGTGTTTTTGTAGTATTAGCGCAGATACAAAGCATTCCATTTTCGTGCCAATGCCTCCCAAACAAAAAACCTGGGTGTTTTAGTCCCACTGTACCATCGCTAGCTTCATTTCTTTTGCCTTTGCAAGACCTGGCTGAAGGACTGCCATTCCGACAGGTGCGCCATTGACTCTTGATCAGTCCACAGGTGTGGCGACAAAAATCTTGCAGGATCTCCAGAAGTTCTTTGCCTGTGTCAAGGCAGTGCAGCAGGTAGCTTGGTCCAATGAGGATAAGGTTGAGCTCAAGACTATCGTGTCTAGCAATTGCTACTCAGCTCGCACTGCACTGGTGTTCAAGAGCAACGCAGCTTTGAGGCCGCTGGGATTTGCTTTCTGCCAACAACTTGAACAGTTCTGACCTGTGTAGGGGTAGGCCTAGACTGACCACAAGTATGTATACAGGTTCAGGTTAAGTGACATCAGATTCTTACTATGACTATATTATTGTCATATGTTCTACTCTTAAGTGACGTACTGTATTTCCAGGATTTCTGCTTTGTGTGTTTTTGCCTTTCGATGCCCGCATTGTGCGAGCGTTGGACCAATAGGAGAATAAGTAGAAGGCAGTCACTGCACACCAAACAGGCAGAAGCGTAGACCTTACTTGTAATTCAGGAAGAGGGGGGACTTGCAGATTGCCGTGTAATATTAATATCAATAATTTCATATTCCTTTCATCCTGCTATGGTTCATTTGTCATAGCGCACCTCCGTCAAGCACCGACCCTGCGCAGAGAAATTGCACTTGGCAATCTCAGAAGGGAACTTTTCTGCAAGCCTGCTCAGCCAAAACGCACGGGCTCAGAGAGCGTACCCTCATCGAACCCTGTCCTTTACACCTACCGTAAGAACCTCTTAGTGGACACGCTGTTGGGGAATCGGAATAGTTAATAAATGTTGACAGATGTTTTTTTTGCAATAACAGCAACATAGCTTTCCTTACAACCATGGCATCAGCACCCTTACCTTCACGCAACAAACTCGGGCAGGAACATGTGGGAGCATGCAGTCGGCATCTCCAAGACCTTGCTTGACGAGAAGACAGCGTGCGCAAAGGCTCTTGATCTGGCCGAGGCGATGTCAGAAGTGACTGAAGCAATGAAGGCTCCTTCCCGCCCATCGAATGCCTTGCAGGAGAAGTTCAAGCGTTTGGCATCTGTCACCGATTGCCAGCATCTCTTGGCCCAGTCAGCTGACCTTTCAGACGATGTTGTGAATGGAAAACCTGCCTTGAAAACCTCCTTGGATGCGTTTTCAGCTGCCAAGCCAGACTTTGCGGAGTGCTCCACCCACTTCCAGAAGTATTTGGATGCTCAGTGGTCATCTTCGTTTGCGCTTGCAAACTTGGAGTCAAATGAAGCCGCTTCCCACCTTACACCATGCTGGTATTCAGGACAGATCGATCCGATTGCGCTTTCTCAGCTGCCTTTCGAAATGTCCAAGCTTCGGCTTGACTGTGTTACGGCATGGTAAAAATTACTGACTGTCGACTGCTCAAAAGATGTATTAGTAATGCGAGAGGTTAGATTTCTAGAAACATTGATTGAAGCAGGACTTGCCAAGTGCTACGTGGACAAGACAGGGACCTACTCAGAGCAGTCAGTGGCCTTCCTGGTTAGCTCCATGGCTGAAGCCTTTCTGGACTTTGCAGAGTTGGATGGCCAGCCTGGTCTTGTGGAGGCTTTGTCTCTGTGGCAATGCATTAGGAAGGGCTTGCAGCCATTGCAAAACACACCTGCCACCAAAACAGAACTTCCGCAGTTGCATTCTCTCCGGGCTGCAGCTGACCGGCTGGCAGACTTGATCCAGAATGGTGGCGCTGCTTTCATCAAGACCTCCATTGAGAAGGCAGGTGGCCTCAAGGCGGCAATGAACCTTTTGGACAAGGAGTTCAAAGACCCATTGCCAACTGGTTTGGGCAAGTATTTGCATGCAGTCCGCACATGTTCCGCTTGGGGTGAGAAGGCCTTGGACACGTCCTTGGTGGCAGATGCTGAGCCCAATTGCTTGCAGATGCACCTCAACACCTTCACAAAAGCCCAAGGCCTTGACATGTCCTTCCTGGAGACAACGCTCCCCGAGTCCTGCACCGCAGTGACCAAGTTCATGGACAACTACAAGAGCAAGCTGGCCGAGTGGTTGAAGAAGTTGGACGTTTTGCTCAACAGCGGGAATAGCACTCTGGAACCATACAGGCGCCAGTAATGTGGCATCCCAACACCAAACACAGTCAGGCAAAAAAAACACACAAAACTTTGTTGAGGAAGGTTTGCTACGTGTTGGTTTGGTTGCAGTGCAACCTTGTGCAAGAACGGTTTGCAATCACGTGGTGAACTCTCGTTGAAAGTAGCATTAGTTAGCATTCGCCCGGATTCATGAAGCAATGTTTGGACCTGGTAGGTTTACATGCTGGACTGGACGCTACCATGGACCACAAAAAAGCCAACGCTTTGGCAAATGGAAAACAGTTGCAAACTTCAGAACTTTAGAGTGGAGATTCTAGACCTCTTGAGAGAAGGTTGGTCAGGGTTCTGCAGATTAACCACATTGAATTGGCTGGCATTAGGTTGCCTTGTCCTTTCACCCTGTATAGGTCTGTGGTGGGTGCGATTGAGCGCTGGGATCTTGACAGTGTCTCCTGGGTTTTCTCAGGTGGCAGCGATCAGAACAAGAAGGTGACCAGGGAAGTGAAAAGCATTGAGTCGACGCACAAGATGCTGGGCCACTCACTGCCGTTGCTTCGTGCTTTGGCCTTGACCAGCAAGCACGCGGACATTGACATTGGTGATTGTGGTGAGAAGGTGGCAGAGATCCAGAAGAGCGTGCAGGACAACTTTGTCAAACAAACGCTGCCCTATCAAAGCATTCTGGCCAAAAAAGCCTCCCACTGATGCATCACACACAGCACTACCACCGACCATAGCCACCAAGTGTGTTTTCTTTGTAAGAAACCAAATCTGCCAGGATTTTCGGGCAACTGCAGCCATGATCTTGGCTGTGGTGAGCGCAGCTGACTTGTTCATCAACCCGGACAACCATCCCGACCCTAAGGCTTCCCAGGTGAAGATTGTGCAGTTCATGGCCGCCACTCTCGGCATCAGCAAGTCGGATTTGCCAGAATCTTTGAGGTCAAGGATGGAACCACCTCCACCTGAAGAAGAGCCCAACAAGCGGAAGCCTGCTCCCAAGCGCAAAAGGGTGCCAAAGGCTCAGGCCGAGCTTGAGGGTGATGAGGAGCAAGACGAGAACGTGAACAAGAGATCCCGAAAGGCAGCGAACCCTACCACCAAAAAACGTGGTAGGAAGTGAGCACAGAGTAGAGATTTTCCAAAGACCCTGCCGAGACTGGAAGGGCATTTTGTTGGGGTTAGGGAGGGGCCATGTTCAGAGAACTATAGAGATTAAGAGAGATGAGATGAGTGCATGGCCGCTAGGCTATACAGATAGACCACACTTGGACAGATAAACTACCAAAGTAGAGACTGTAGACTTTAGCCCTCAGCTTAATTCACAAGGATGGCTGGCCCCTACCCTAAAGTTCTTTCCGAGCATTCTAGGAGGACTAGCGCAGGATAGTTTGGGCTGGATAATGTCTTGGGGCGCTTTGTAAATCAAAGCTTGCGAGAAAGGCCGCCAGCCCAGTGGACCCTGGACGAGTGCAAAAAATAGGGCAAGCTGGCAGTCGAGTGATTGATAGGGGATTGTCCTATAATAAGTTTTGGAATCTCAAGTGGTTCCGAAGACATATCTTTGCCAGTCCAACCCTGGCATTTTCTTCGGGAAGACGTGTGATAGTTTTCGTTTTATCTGCAATATTTATACCAGCACCCTGCACCCTGCAACCACATTCCTGTATGCTGTTGGTATGCCAATGAGTATCCAGTCCCTCCAGCTGTTCAGCCCCTTTTGCAGCTGCCCAGTCTTAGGGGGCAACACCCCCCAATCATTATTTCAGAGCGAAATTTTAGCAATAGCTCTCACTTCCAAGATGGGGATTCTATGAATAGTCCTGTCTTGTGGGCTGCATTTCCATGAATAGCTCCATGATATTATCTGCCAACAATGAAATAGCTCTCAAGCTGAAGATAACAAAATCACAATAGTTTCTGGTCATAGAATAGCTTTTATGAATAGCTCCAAGCACCATTGGGAGAGCTCACCATTAAAGAGCGATATAAAGCTCCTAAGCTCTTGGCCTTACTTCTAGGAACAAGGACGCTCCTGGGGGCTCCTGGCCTTACTCCTAGGAACAAGGACGCTACTAGGGGTTCCTGGCCTTACTACTAGGAACAAGGACGCTACTAGGGGCTCCTGGCCTTAGTACTAGGAACAAGGACGCTACTAGGGGTTCCTGGCCTTACTACTAGGAACAAGGATGCTACTAGGGGCTCATGGCCTTACTACTGTGAACAAGGACGCTACTAGGGCCTCATGGCCTTTCTAGTAGCAACCAGGACGCTACTAGGGGCTCATGGCCTTACTACTAGGAACAAGGACGCTACTAGGGAGCGCACGCGGACCGGTCTCCGTGGCAAGTCTTGTGAGATCTTAAGGTTTAAAGGCTGGAGGCCCTGGAGTTGGTAATCGATATCTCTGACACCACATGCTGAGTTTTGTGGAACACAACATGTTCCACTAGGAGATGCAATATGATGCAACAATCATTCAAAAAACCTGAGGGACATGGATATTTATGCTCAACGACCTGGAAAAGACACACCGTGACACACCCTGTCACCCGCGCGGTGAAGGGTGGGGATGCCGATGGATTGGTGCTACGGTGCCTATGATCAGTTTTGATTGCATACCACATACCCATATAGGGTCCGGGTACAGCTACCTCCGTACTTCGGATGGTCTGTCACGGAGGGTGAGTTCGTGCCCGTCCGGACGTGCGGGGCAGCACCGTCCGTTGGATCGGATCGTTAGATCGTCCGTTTGGTCTTCTTAGAAGGGGCCACGACATGCCACTTTGCACTACAAAGTCGCCAGTTCTCCGCTTCCAGCTCCCCAGATACTCCGCGTACTAAAGTTGTACTACAAAGTAGCCAGTTCTCACCTTTCTCAGCTTCCAGCTCCACAGATTGCTCCGCGTACTAAAGTTGTACTACAAAGTCGCTAGTTCTCAGTTTCGAGCTCCCCAGGTTCTTCCGCGTACTACAGTTGTACCACAAAGCCGCCAGTTCTCAGCATCCACCTCGCCAGATTACTCCGCATACTAAAGTTGTACTATAAAGTCGCCATTTCTTAGCTTCTGACTCCCCAGATGCTGTGCCTGCCACACGCAATCTGCGCCTCGATGTTCACAAAGTGCTGTGCCTGCCACGAAATCTGCATTTCAAGAAACCAGTGAAAGCTCTAACCACAATGGAGGGACGATTCCGAGCATGACACGAGACCGTCTCGCACACGTCGTTCCGCAAAGCTTTACTTGCCATCTTCGGAGCCACCCTTTCTATTCAAAAACACAGCACGTTCTTTCGTCCGCTATCTCTCGAAAACGCATTTTGTTTTGCGTCTGCTACGAAATCTGCACATGGAGGTTCACAAAGTGCTGTGCCTGCCACGAAATGTGCACTTCGAGGTTCACAAAGTGCTGCACCTGCCACGAATTTTGCACATGGAGGTTGCTGTGCCTGCCACGAAATCTGCACATGGAGGTTCACAAAGTGCTGCGCCTGCCACAAAATCTGCACATGGAGGTTCACAAAGTGCTGTGCCTGCCACGAATCTGCGCGTCAAGAAACAAGTGAAAACTCTAACCACAATGGAGGGACGATTCCGAGCATGGCCCGAGACCGTCTCGCCACGTCGTTCCACAAAGCTTGACTTGCCGGCTTCGGAGCCACCCTTTCTATTGAAAAACCACAGCATTTCGTGCGTCCGCTCTCTCTCGAAAACGCACTTTGTTTTGCGCCTGCTACGAAATCTGCACATGGAGGTTCACAAAGTGCTGTGCCTCCACGAAATCTGCACCTCGAGGTTCACAAAGTGCTGCACCTGCAATGAATTCTGCACATCGAGGTTCAAAGTGCTGCGCCTGCCACGTAAACTGGAGCTAGAGCTGTTGGAGCTAGAGCTATTGAAACTAGAGCTAACTGGAGCTAGAGCTATTGAAACTAGAGCTACCTGGAGCTAAAGCTATTGAAACTAGAGCCAACTGGAGCTAGAGCTATTGAAACTAGCTAACTGGAGCTGGAGCTGTTGAAACTAGAGGTACCTGGAGCTAGAGCTCTTGAAACCAGAGCTAACTGGAGCTAGAGCTCTTGAAACTAGAGCTATCTGGATGGTGAGTGGTGCATGATAAGTGATGTATGATGAGTGGTGTATGATCAGTGGTGTATGATGAGTGGTGTATGATAAGTGGTGTATGATAAGTCACGAAAGCTAGCGAAGCTAGCTGGAGTTACTCTTGCGATAGCAAGCTTTCTTTCGACCGGGTGCAAATCCTAACCCCTGATTTTTCCCCCTCCTCCCCTCTCCCCTCTCCCCTCTCCCCTCTCCCCTCTCCCCTCCTCCCTCCTCCCCTCTCCCCTCTCCCCTCTCCCCTCTCCCCTCTCTCCTCTCCCCACCCCACCTCCCCTCTCCTCCTCCTTGTCTTCCTCCCACCTTCCCTCCCTCCCTCCTCCCTCTTCGCAAGTTCGACTCCGTCCTGTCGTCGCTCTTTGGCATGCGGTTAGCGTTGCGTATCTTGCGGCCGCACTCGCTCACTCTCACTGTCTCATTGTCTCACTGTCTCATCTCTCTCATCTCTCTCATCTCTCTCATCTCTTTCTCATCTCTCTCATCTCTCTCTCCTCTCTCTCTCTCTCCTCTCTGTCTCTCGTCTTTCCGTCTCTCTTCTCTCGCAGGAGGATCCGGGCAAAGAGCCACATATAAAGGACTCTTCACCCCTGCCTCCAAAAAGAGCGCCGTGTTTTTTCCTACCTCGCTGCCCTCCACTTTCCCATTCTGGAGCGCTAGCTTTCGCCCCCCCCCCTTGGCCTCAAGTGGTGTATGATGAGTGGTGTATGATGAGTGGTGTATGATGAGTGGTGTATGAAAAGTGGTGTGTGATGAGTGGTGTGTGATGAGTGGTGTATGATAAATGGTGTATGATGAATGGGGTATGATGGATGGGGAACGATAATTCTTGAATGTGCGTAAGACGGAAATTGTACGTATTAAATTTGTTTTGAAAATTGTATTAAAATTATTCGACTTGGATATGTCTTTATAATAAATTAAAAGATAATATTTTACATATATATTTATTAATATTATATTTTTTTATATTACGAAAGGTAGTGATTATTTTATTTGAATTTTCTTTTTGCTTTAGCAAAAAGTATTAATTTAGAGTTGTAATTTATTTCTCGGAGAAATGGTCTCCGACATTTTCGTTTGTTGGTCGGGGGGAACCCCCCTTTTAACTCTACCTTAGCGCGTCTCGGGTTCGAAAAAATTATAGCTATTAGTGTTTGTAGCTCTTGCAGTCCTTAGTTACGTCTCGATTAGAAAAATGACCGAAAAAA